ACTCCTCCAGAGGCCTTTCAGGCAAGAGCGCCAGCAGCAGCAGCCTCAGGATCCACAGCGTCGGCCCCTCCGCTCACCATCGAGGGCGTCGCAGCGTTGATCGACGACAAGTTCCAGCAGCACCTGCAGCCAGTAATCCGAGACGTTCGCGCTGTACAGGCAGACGTGGCCCGGATCGACAACGTTGTGCTGAACATGGATGCCGCGATTGGGCAACGCCTGTCGGCGATTGATGCGGAGCTCAGCGCCCGCAGACTTCAGGTCGCGGAGCTCACGGCGAACTCGTCGAAGGCACACTCGAGAACGTCTTCAGTTGCGCCGGGCTCCGGCAACGCAGGCAGCATGGAGGGCCGTTTCAGACGCGTGGAAATCCAGCTCCAGACCCTCGCGGATAGCAGGAACGACCCCTACGCCCTCGCGGCCGTCTTCGGCAACCAAGCCGGATTCAGCGCCCAGACGGACGCGGAGAAGTGGTTCTCCAAGCAGCTCTGGTACATGAGCGCGCCTCTCCCAGGCGCTGTTTATTGCGAGGGCGAGTTTTCAGGTATCTTGTATGAGAAGTTTGAGACCGTGGCGAAACGGGATTCGGCCGTCTCCAAATGCAGAGCGGCGAAGTTGTCGCATAACGGCAAAACCGTCTGGGCAAAGAGTGACCAGCCAATCCAAGTCCGGGCCCCGAGGTCGGTGTTGTTTGGAGCTGAGAAGTTGCTCGTGCAATGGGGGTTCAGTAGAAACGACCTGTGGGCTGACGAAGACACCGACGCCCTCGCCCTGGGCGCGGAGAAGGTCTTCGAGGTGGCGGTGGAGGAGGGCATCATGAAGATGAGTTGTGGGACGGGGTGGGGGGACTATGTGAGGGAGGATAAGGGGTGGAAGGAGCTAGTGCAGACCCAGGAGGACAAGCTGCAGCGCGCAGGCACGGACAAGGGCAAGGGGAAGGGCAAGGCAAGGGAAAAGTCGCTAAGGGCGCTCTGCGCCGATAGGGACTTGCACGACATTTCGGCTTTCAGCAGGGCGGCCATCAGACAGAAGGCAATGGAGGTCAAAATGGCCACCGTTATTCTTCTTCATGGCCATGTTTCACTTTCCATGCGCTGCTCTTCTTCGTCTTCTTCTCCCTCTCCAGCCTGTCATGTACCGGGCGGTTTTCGTCTACAGCGAGGGCGCCCAGGACACTTTCGAGACCCTCGTCTGCGAGTTCTGGCAAAGTTATGCAGAATTGCATCCTGGAGTGTGGAAAGGGCTCGGCATATCTAGCAACAGCGCGAAACTGGAGCAGATCATAAGTGTAATGAAAGATCGTAGCATTGCTGTCATGTGCCTGCAGGAGACGCACGTCCCGGCCGCTCCATACTTCGTCCTCGACGGATTCCTGCTGATCTTATCTGGAGGGCCAGAGGGGGAACGAGAACATGCCGGAGTGGGATTTATCATATCGCCTTGGGTCCGGCATGCCATCATGGGATTCATACAGCGCAGCAACAGACTGGCCAGCGTGAAAATCAGAGTTCCCGGCGGTTCCATGGCAATGATCTCGGCGTGTGCCCCCCAGTCTGGAATCGCATTCGAAGAACGGCGCGACTTCTTCGGTGATTTACATTCGCTGACTACGAGCGTCAGCGTGCACGGCCCCATCTACACGTTCGGCGACCTCAACGCGCGACTCCCGAACGGGAGCCACCAGGAATCCGATGTTGTCGGCCAGCATGCTTGGGGCAACTCCGAGGCGACAATTGGCGCCCCGAGCAACCAGCTCATGTTGATTGAGCATTGCGCGTCCCTGAATTACATTATCGCGAACGCGTTCTTCGACAGGCCTCTGCAAGATAAGGTGACGTACTTCGACTTGAGCGCCTCTCCAATGGGCGCTCCGATCCCGGCCAAGTTTGCAGAGATGAACCACATCTTAGTGCGCAGGCAGTGGCGTGGTGCAGTTACTGACGTCCGATCTGACCGCAGCATTGGATTTGCTTCCCACCACTTCCTGGTGACAGCAGCTCTGAGCATAGAAATCCCGAAGACCCCGGCACAGCAACGGAAGACGACGAGCGATTTGGATTCGCTCAAGCGGCCCCCGGTGCAATGTGAGTTCGCCGCCGCCTTTGCGAACGCCGCCGCTCAGCGCATTGATGGCGGCGCCGGGTTGGGCGACCAGGCCGGAGGGCTCGCAGCCACTTTCAAGATAGCAGCGGGAGAGTGTCTCGGACTACAGCCCGTGCAGGCGCAACGACCGTGGATTCGGGCGGCCACGCTGGATTTGATTGCGCTCCGGAACCAGGCGCGCGCCCGCAACCAGTACGGGTTGGAGAAAGCGTTGACCAGACAGGTCCGTCAATCATCGCAGCGGGACCGGAAGGTTTGGCTCGAGGACATGATCGGCAGTGGCGAATGGAGTAATTTACGGAAGTTCAAGCGCTTGGGCGTGCGACCGCAGGGCCGTCTAAGGAACGCCCGCGGAAAACTGGTGGAGAGCACAGATCGGCCGGACACCCTGGCTGCCTACTACGCCGAAGTGCAGTGGATGCCGAGACCTATGGGCCACCCTCTCCCCAGTGGGCCACGGCTGCGCGAACCGCTGCGTGCCTCGTCTGCCAATTTCTCGGCTGCTGAGCTGGGCGCCGTCTTGGGGAGATTGAAGACCGGAAAAGCGGCTGGCGCCGACGGCGCGCCCCCGGATTTCTGGAAAGATCTCCGAGATCAGCCAGACGCATGCGAAGTTATATTGAATATGTGAAACAGTTGCTGGCGGCAAACAGCCATTCCTCAAAGTTGGCGGCATTCTGTCGTAACGGCGATCTTCAAGACTATCTCTCCCAGAAAACGATAGACCTATCTCACTGCTCTCAGTCGGCTACAAAGTCCTAGCATCGCTCATTCTGGGCCGCATCGTAAGTAGTGGAGCTGAGAGCCTCCTCCGAAACACGCAGTTCGGCTTCAGGGCCAAGCGCAGCTCAACGGACGCCGTCTTCCTCATGCAGCGGTACATCGAGAGGGCATGGTCGACCAGGGACGGGTCGCTGTCCGCGATCCTCTTGGACTGGTCAGAGGCATTCGATCGAGTCGACCCGGCAGCGATGCACGTTGCTCTGGCGCGCTTTGGGTTGCCAGACCAGTACTTAGCGATGATCTCTGCCATGTGCAACAACCGAACGTTCGAGGTGCGGGATCGACGGGGCTCGTCCGCGGTCTACTCGCAAGGCGCGGGCATTGCGCAAGGGTGCCCGCTAAGCCCATATCTGTTCATCATCGTTCTCACTGTGATAATGGCTGATGTAGACGAGGATGTTCAGGCGGCCCTCGGACCGGCGTCGCCGTCTGACATCAGCGCCGACGTCGAGTGCGCGGACGACGCTGCTTTGATATCAGACAACATCCCACGTCTGCAATACGTCTTGGAGAGCTTGTTGCATCGAGCCGGCATGTATGGACTGGAGCCGAACTGGTCCAAGACGGGCCACGTGCAGATCCGCCACAACGTGGATGTGGTCACGCCACAGGGCGCGCTGATCAAGCCGGTGAACAGCGCCATCTATCTCGGCAGTCTACTGAAGGCAGATGGAACTGCAGGGGCGTCCATCGCGCGCAGGCGCGGCGAAACCACAGCTGCTTTCGAACAGTTGCAAAGTGTATGGAAGCACGCGAACATTACGCGTGACAGGAAGACTGAGATGTTCAATGCGTGCGTGGTGTCGAAGTTGATGTGCAGTTTGGGGACGCTTTGCCTCCGCCAAGCGGATGAGCAGAATATCGACGCCTCCCAGGCCCGGTGTCTCCGAAATATTTACGGCGTGCCACATTCAATGATCTCGCACATGCCGAATGCGGACGTTAGGCGGCAAACCCGTCAGCACCGACTGAGCATTGTAGTATTGATGCGGCAACTGGTGGTCTACGGGCGGATCGCTTCCCAGCCAGACCAGTCTCCACTACGAGCTGCTGTTCTGACACCGGGCTCGCCGGTGCCTTTGCGACCGGTTGGCGTTCGAGCGCGGGGGCGACCTCGTCTGACGTGGGCGCCGGTTGCTTGGGAGCAGGCCAAGCTAGCGATGGCCTTTTGTCCTCGTCCCGTCCCGCCCCTTCCGCCACCTCCTCTCCCGCCTCCCTCCCCCCCCAGACGAAGCTTTAAGTGCATTGTTCAGGCGCCCTCGTTTTGCAGCGCATAGACAGCCAATCTGGAAAGCAATTGTCAAACAAAATATGGCCTTTCCATTGACCCCATATTTGCTTAGGTGTAATATACGATTGCCGCTTATCCTGCGCGGCAAGGATTTCCCCCCTCTGCTGAGCCGATGTGTCGTGCGACATGGCTTGCGAACGAACGAACGATTTCCCTTGAGTTCGGTTTCCGGGATTGGTTTCGAGGCTCCAGGGCTACCGGCAAACCCATCCAGGACGAATAGCGGGTCTCCGAGAACGGGCATCGACGTCAGGGGGGCCCGTATAGGAACAAATCGTACTTCGGAGGTCTGGTGTTGAGCATCGAGGATCGAGGAGGTTCTCCGTAACGTTCTTGGCCCTTGTTGGGCCTTTAGGGGCGCCCCCGTGGCCTCGGCTGGACGCAGCTTGGAAAATTGTCCATGGTGTACCCAGGTAGGGATCGGGGACTGGTTTAGAGCCGGTCTTGTCAGCGGTTGGATCGAGGGGGTCGGCCTTCCGAAAAGCCTTCCTGGAAGCCCTGATGAGAAGCCCCTTGTCTTCTTAGAAGCCCGACCCATTCCCCTGGGGCCCTCCAGGCTTCCTGAGGGTGGCCCTGGGGGCCATCTGGGCCTTCGTGGAGGGTACCTTCGCACGGGGGCACTGTTGGCATCGGGCGCGTCGAAAAGCTGGATGTCCAGGCTGTGCAGCTACCTCGTCGCCGCGGCGGCTGGGCGCCGCTCGCGAGACTGGCCAGCAGGGGCTCTGGAGCAGCGGGGCCGCGTGCCCACTCCGGGTGAGGCAGCGCCCTTCCAGGCAGGAGGCAGGGGCCGACCAGCTGCGGTGGAGCCCCCCCTTGCGCCGAGGAGGCGCTCGGGCCCTACCCCGCGCTGAACTGCGAGAACATGTCTTTCGAAAACAACACCGACACGGGAGTGGACCACGTGGCGGTGGCGCGTGCGGCCGCGCGCGGGGCGGGGGGTGAAAGCCTCTGGACGTCACGTGCATAGCGCGGCGGCCACTCTTTCTCCCCCCCACCGCCGGCCAGGTCTCTCCATACCTCCCGACGGGCCAGAGTGGGCATTGTCGGTGGATCGCGGTGCGTTGCCGAGGCGAAGGCGATGCGGTGCGACGTGGAGCCCGATTTCCTCCACGCGGACGGCGCCGATACAGCATCGCCGACGTCGCCGATGCATCGCTGATGCATCGGCGATGCATTGGCGATGCGGCGCGATCCTCCGACCCCATCTTCTCGGATTCCACTTGGGAGGCCTCCAGTCTCTGGAAGCCCGTGCTGGGCCTGAGGCGCGAGGAACTTCCAAGGGCCACCGGGAACCGCTCAGGACCGCCCGACCCCCCGCGAGACTTCTGAAAACCACCAGGCAGAATCGGGTGAGACGAAAGGATGTAGTTGGGAACAGAGGCTTACGAACTCTGCTGGATGCAGCTGGTTTCGGCCCCGCCAGACTGCCTGGGCCGTCTACGGGCCCTCTTGGGCCGTTTTGAGGCTGTTTTGACATAGGATTTGGGCATTCTTGGGCCGTATTGAGGGCGTATGCCATCTTGGAGGCCTCTAGGGCCCATGGAGCTGAAGGAACCCGACGATGTGGAGACGCCGACATCTTTCAAATATCAGTCAGTCAGTCACAAGCCGTGCACCCAAAAGGACGCATAGGCAAAACGAGAAGTGCTCATTGGCACGCTCGCGAGACAGCGGAAAATAGAACGACGCTCGTGCTCACCATGGCCGACGAGAGGGGGGGATGGGGGTAGGGGAGGCTGGGGGAGGGGAGGGGAACGGAGGACGATGGCAAAACAGACAATGGCACCCGCACTACATGTGCGGTGTAAGCCTACACTTCGGTTGCCCATTGTTGGCGCGGCCATCCTCTCGTGCGGCGGGCGGTCCACACTTTAGGCGACCCGTCTGCGCTGAAGAGTACGAGCTTCACAAACGAATTAAATGCACAGGCCAAGATTTTCTTGCACAATTTCACCTGTCTACAGAGCAACGTTGTCGACAGCGGTTTGGCCGCCGCCTTCTCGAAAACCGTGTTTTTGCGCACTTTAGATATGTATGAAGGTGGAACGCCCAAAAGTCGTCGCACGCACTTGCAACGGAAAGCATCCAACCGAGCACGGTCAGCTTTCAGCTTGCTGAACTCGACGGCGTCGTAAGCCTTATATTTTCGTTCCCACCCAAGCGCCGATCTAGACCATATGTTGTCCAGGTGCTTGAACGTCATACTTGCCTCTCCCACCCTTCCGGACGATTCGTTTGAGGCCCTCCCGTCGCGGGGGCAAGGCCCCCCAAGTACACCGCGCCCCGGACAGTCTTGACGTCGCCCCCACCTGGCTTCGTAATTTTCTTGTTTGTTGACACCTGCATCTGCAATGTTATGCTCCAGTTCAATTCCAAACCATATTTGCGACCTTCCTCTACAATTGCATTGAGCATTGTTTCAAGGTTGGTCTGGTGACGTGATACTAGCAGTGTGGGTGTGTCTTCTGCGTGCAGTACGTCCTGGATAACCACTTGGCCAGGCTCTAGTTGAATATGTAATATGTCAATGGAATCGCGTATCATTATTGTTTGAACTGCTATGAAGAGGTACGGAGAAAGCGGACACCCTTGTGCGATCCCCGCTCTTTGTCGTCTTTCCGAAGAGCTGCCAGTATGATCACAAATTTAGAAGAAGCGGGCCGCGTATATTGATCGGACCATATCCACCATGTCGGGAGGAAGCCCAAATCTGTGCAACGCTCTGCACATGGCGGTTGGATTTGTTCTATCGAATGCATTGACCCAATCGAGCATCAGCGTGAATCATGCGCTTCGCGAGCATGAGTGCGTCTGCAGTGCCACGCCCAGGACGAACTCCATAGCGTGAGCTGCGCATCCGCTTTTCTTAGCCTCCATGTATCAGTTTTTGGTGTATCAGTGATGCCAATATCTTGTAATCAATGGTAAGCTTCGAGATAGACTGGTAGTTTTCTGGAAGGGCGATGTCTCTTTTTTTGAATACTGATGATACCACTTTGGCCCTTCTCCAAGACTCAGGGAACGATTTTGGGTTCTTCGTGCCCTACTGGGGTTCTTCTTACAACCCTCTGGGGTTATCTGGTTATCTTTGTGGCATCTCGGGTCGCCTTGGAGGCATCTTGGGCCATCTTGCCAGCGTAGATTGCCTGCCTCGGCCGTCTTGGAAGCTCGGGAGCGCGAAACCCACAGTTTTTAAGGAGGCTCGGTAAAGAGTACCTGCTCTGAGCACGGCACAGCTCGACTATGCGCGTCGCCTCTTGATCCGCGCATTTACATTGGACGATGCTGAGCCACAGTCAGGCTCTGCCCTGCCTGTCTCCTCCCACCGGCGCGAGCGCTCGGTACCCCTGCGCGGTGGGCGTCCGCGATCCGAGCGCGCACGCGCGCGAGCACGAGATTCTGCCGTGGCCGAGACAGACGGTTGTCCTTTGGAAGGGAAGCAGGGTGGAGTTCGGTAGCAAATCATGGGAGCCTTGCGCGTAATCGAGGTTTCACTTTCAGAGTGCATCACATTAGCGTGTGCTAGCGTCTGGTAATCGATGAGGAAGCGCCGATTTAGCGTCGATTAGCCTCGATGTAGCGCTGAGTAGCTTCGATCATCGTCGATTAGTATCGGTCAGCGCCGATTTCCCATGAGTTGCCACCCGAGGGGAGGGGGAGGAGGAGGAGTAGGGAGGAGGAGGCGTAGGGGGGAGAATGGGTGAAGGAGGTCGGGGGTCCAGGTTGTTGGTCATTCCAGGGGAGGTGGACGGTGCTGATGAGGACGGTGGAGGAGGGAGGAGGAGGGGGAGGATGGAAAAGGACTTGCGTGTACGTGTTCTGAGCTCGCCAGGTGGTGGCCAACGGCACCGTGGATCCAGAATGCTGGTTTTGGGAGGACTACTGGAGCACGACCACCACGACTAGCACCACGACGACGACGACGACCACCACCTCGACGGTGACCTCGAACGCCTCGGACGCCACTGACGCCTCGAATGCGTCGAACGCTTCGGACAACTTGGATGTGTCGACCGCCTCTGACGTTTCGGACGCCTCCAGCGCCGCGGATGCCGCAAACACATCCGACGCCTCTACCGCCTCCGACGCCTCCGACAGCGCCCCGACCCCCTCGAACGCCTCCGACGCCTCCGACGCCTCCGACAGCGCCCCGAACTCCTCGGACGCCTCGAGCGCCTCGAGCGCAGCGGTCGCCTCGGACGTCGCGAGCGCCTCGAACGCCTCGAGTGCACCCGACGGCTCCCAGCTTAGAGGCATCTGCATGCAGCGTGTTAATCGGGGGCCCTCAAACGGTGTGGTGACCACACCGCGTGGTGAGTCAGTGGGGATTCGGGGTCACCGCACTGTTTTGGGGGTCGGGTCGAGGTCACCACACGGTGTGTCACCACACCGTTTTGGGACCCCCAAGTCGAGACAGATTCGTTTTGGCATTTTGCTTGCTTCCCCTCCTGAAGCGTTGTGTGTCCCAGACGCTCATTTTTTGGTGACGTTGGGGGCCAGCCACTGTCGGGTCGGACTGAAAGGGGGAGGGCTGGGAGGGTCGGCGGCGCGCCGCGGGGGCAGCGAGAGAAGGCAGGCGTTCTGGGAATGCGGCGGGGCTTCGGAGCAGGCTCCGAACGGCTCTCAGACGGCCGCAGGCCTTCTCTGCTTTGAAGGCCCAGCCCGTCTGCCTTCCCCCCGTGGGCGCGCCGCCAGGAACAAGGGGGGAGGTGCGAAGTCTGCTGTGTGCAGCTGGCTTTGGCGCCCGCCGCCCAGCGCCCTTCCCCTCGCTGCACGGCCGCCGCCCGGCGCTGGGAGGCGCCGGAGAAGCCAGCCGCCTGCGGCTGGTCCTCGGGGGCCCCCAGTCGGTGCGGTGACCACACCGCGTGGTGAGTCATCAGGGGAGCGCAAGCACGGATTCAGGCAACGTGGATCAGCGGCGAGTCCCGAATCGGTACAGAATCGGCGCGCTCCGTTGCCGAATCGGGCCGCACCGACGCCTTGTTTTGGGGGCCCTTTCCCAGATCCATGGATCCGGCGCCCACTTGACTGATCCACGGATCCCTAATCCATGTTAGCGTGCGCCCTGAGTCAGTGGGGTTTCGGGGTGACCGCTCGGTTTTGGGACTCGGGTCGTTCTCAGAGGACGTCTCGGGCGACTGGGGCCTGGTCCCAGAACTGTGCGGTGACAGACCGTGCGGTAAGATCTCGAGGTCACCGCACGGCCCGTCACAGCATTGTTTGTAGACACCCGAGATTCGCCAGCCCGCTTGTTGCTATCCCCCCCCTGTCCCGATAGGAGGCCTCCCACCCCCCCTCCTCTCCCGTGGAGCCCAGCTAGTTCGTGGCCCGGAGGTATCTGGAGGCCCCATGTCCCGTGGAGGCCCCAGCAAGCCTCCTTGGGGGCCCGTGAACGGTGAACATTCCCCCCGTCGTCGTCGTCGTCCTGCTCCTCCTGCTCGCGCTTGCTTAAGAGAGCTAAACGGCTTGACATACAAATAACAATTCGGAGGTCCGCGCAGATTTCGTGGATCGGCGCCGGAGCCCTCTCCATTGCGCGCGGAAGGCGTCAGGGGCGACGCCAGAGGCGCTGGTAGAGGGCGATCCAGGAAATCCGCGCGGACCTCCGAGTTCTTATGTTTACATGTTGTCGTTTGGTTCTTGTTCTCCCCGCTTTTCCTCCCGTCCTCCCCCTTTCGCCCTGTCCGATGACGGCCCCCGCAGCCTCCCGAGACTGCCTCCTCACCGCCCCTGCGCGCGATCCCGCGCGCGGCGGGAAGGAAGAGGGAATGGTAGTGATCTGATGATGGTCATGGTGGTCCTGAGGATGATGATGCTGATGATGATGAGGATGATGATGATGACGATGACGATGATGATGACGATGACGATAATGATGCTGATGATGATGATGATGATGATGATGATGATGATGATGATGATGATGATGATGATAACTGCTGCTTCTGCTGATGATGATGAGGAGGATGATGACGATGATGATGGCTATGATGCTGCTGCTGATGATGATGGTGACGATGACGATGACGATGACGATAATGATGATGATGATGATGATGATGATGATGATGATGATGATGATGATGATGATGATGATGATGATGATGATGATGATGATGATGGCGATTGAGGTGGTGGCGATGGTTACGACGGTGCCACCGACGATGATGGTTTTGATGGGGTCATTGACGATGTTTCCGATAATGATAATGGCCATCGGAGGAGGCAGCACGTCATAACATGTGTATCGTATGCTGCCTGGTCCTGCAAAGGGACCAACACTGCGATGGGGGCAATTTTATACAGATCTGACAAGACGATGATGATGACGTTGACGACCCGGATGAGGATGATGATGAGGATGAGGATGATGATGATGAGGATAATGTTGACGACGATGATGGTGATGATGATGATGCTGCTGCTGATGATGATGTTGATGATGATAATGATGATAATGATGATAGTGATGATGATGAGGAGGAGAAGGATGAGAAGGAGTTGGATGATGGTGATGATGATGACAGCGATGACGAGGATGATGATGATGATGCTGATGCTGATGCTGTTGCTGATGATGATGATGATGATGATGATGATGATGATGATGATGATGATGATGATGGCGGTGGTGATGGTGATAATGGTAATGGTGGTGGTGACGTTGGTGATGACGACGATGGTGATGCTGCTTCTGCTGATGCTGATGCTGATGCTGCTGATGCTGATGATGATGACGATGACGGTGACAATGACGGTGACGACGATGACGATGATGATTCAGGAGGATGAGGATGATGCTGATGATGATGACGCTGCTGATGATGATGGCGATGACGATGACGATGTCGATGTCGATCAGGACGACGATGATGATGATTCTGATGATGATGATGATGATGATGGTGATGCTGATGATGCTGCTGCTGATGCTGATGCTGATGCCGATGTTGATGCTGCTGCTGATGATGATAATGCTGCTGCTGATGGTGATGACGATGACGATGACGATTATGATGATGATGCTGCTGATGCTGATGATGATGATGATGCTGATGCTGCTGCTGCTGCTGCTGCTGATGATGATGATGATGATGATGATGATGATGATGATGATGCTGCGGATGATGATTATGCTGACGATGACGATGACGATGATGATGATGCTGATGATGATGATGATTCTTATCATGATGACGATGACGATGATGATGCTGATGATGATGATGCTGATGCTGATGCTGATGATGATGCTGATGCTGAGGCTGAGGCTGATGATGATGATGATGATGATGATGATGATGATGATGATGATGATGATGATGGCGACACGGCGATGACGCGGCGGCGGCGTCGTCGTCGACGACGGCGGCGGCGGCGCTGACGATGGTGTTTATGATAAGGGGGTGTTGGTGATGATGTTGTTGCTGATTCGGATGGTGATGATGGTGATTGCGCTTCTGCCGGGCATCTGGGTCTTTCCGAAGAGGGCTCAAGCTTCCGTGAAATGCACGGAGCCGCAATCGCCCCGTGCCTCCCCTCGGCCCGCTCCCTGCCGCGCTGCCAGGCGGGCAGTCCTGCACTCCATTGCCTCCACAGCACGCCTCGGGAAGCCCCTCTGGGCGCGCGCCCGGCTGGCCCTCGCTCGTGGCCAGCCGCCGTCGGCGCCTCTGCGCCGAGCGGGGAGGTGCTCGCTGCATTCCAGCGCACGCTGCGGCCAACCGCCAGCAGTTCTCCTGCACCCCACTACTCCGGGCAGCGGTGCGGGAGCCGCGCGGCCCTCAGGTCCCGCTCATCTCCGTCCGACGGCTTCGGCCTCGAGCAGGTAGCGACCACTTTGTAACGATAGCGTGGCACGACGACAGCGCGATGTGTCGCCGCTCTGCCCCCGCTTACCGTCTCCGCGCCGCCTGCATGCTGCCAGCTCAGGCCGCCGCTCGGCTCGACGCGCGCCCTACGGCCCCCGCGCGCAGCCACGCGAGAGGCCGCTCGGCAGGCACGGATGCAAGTGCGCACCGTGCTTCTCGGCAGCCAACGCCAGCCGCGCAGGCCCCCCGTGCGCGCCCTGCCGAGGCCGACACGCCGCCCGCAGGGCACCGTCTCCTGCTGTCCTGCCCGCGGCCCCAGGCCGTCGAGCCGCGGCGACAACCCAGGAGGCCTGCTGGGCCGAGCGCAACACGCAGTCCGCCTTCCCAGGCCATCGCCTTCGCGCGGCCCGCGCTGCTTGCCTTGCTCTCTCGCTGCCAGCTCAGGGCGCCGCTCGGCCCTCTGCCTGGCCCTCGCGGCCCACATCCCGCCGGGCCACCGAGGTGGCGCACCATGTAGCCCGCCGCGACTGGCCCTCGACGGCAGCGCCCCGAAATCGCCGCCCTCCAGAGCTCTCATGGGGCGCGTCCTGGCCAGAACTCGACGCAGACCCAGCCGTGACCACAAGTCAGCATCGTCCGAGATGGGGATGAATGCTGCGAAATCCCACGGAGGCGGCATCTGTCCCCATCCAAGGGGGTGGGTCGGACAGCGGGGCCAAGCCTTTTCCTGTGGGGATGGGGATGGGTCTAGCGATGCTCAACGATGGCGCCCCCCCGCACCCGAGGCCCACAGAGAGCCTCCAACTCACTCGCAAGCCATATGCCGCCTGGCGCGTGGGCAAGAGATCAGGCCCAGGCAGTCACAAGCAGAAGAAATGGGCGAAACTCTGCGCCGGCTGGTCAGGGCAGGAGGAGGTGACGTCGGGCGGGGCCAGGACCGGGAGAAGTCGTTCTGGAGCGCTCCAGTACGCTCTTAGAGCGTTTCGGAGCGCTCTTGAACGGCCGCGGCGCCCGATACATCCTCCAGAGCCGCCGGATCTCAGAGATCCCCGCCTTGTCCCGGTCCGATTTTGTCCCTTCGTCTAATCGGAGGAGAAGGGGGGGCGGAGGAGGCAGGGGAGGAGCCTCCAAAACGCCTCCCCCAACCCTGGGCCTCGTTACCTCGAACGCCCGCCGCCAAGCAAGCCCGCGGGGCCGAGGAGGCCTTGGGCCCAACAGAGGCAGCCAAGCGCTTCCAAACGCAAGCCCATGGGCCCTCGATAGGGCCGCCCACGATCCGATTCGATGCGATTTGCATCTTCGGTTGGGTTCGGTCCGGTTCGTTCCTCCTGCATCGGCTGCGGCGCGGCGATCCGACTCCGATCCGACTCGGGCCCATCCGTTGGCGATCCGATCTGCCTCCGATCCGATCCGATTTTGCGATTCGACCC